CATTTTTTCTACATATGTCATCTCGCCCCCTCGCCAAGAGCAGCACACTACACGACGCAGAGTGAAAGAGAATGTGCAAAATTAAAAAAAAAACAAAAAGGGACGTGTGAGACGCTTCTTACGCGTCACAACTTTTATACCCGGTCCTCAGTACTAAATTTTTTCTTCATCTGTCATCTACATCTGCTTCACTTTACACGTCAACACGCCCTTTTAGCTCGCCTCCCTCCCCTTAAACTGCACATGTGAAAAAAACAACAAAAGCTGCGGGACAGGGTGGGTTTAGCCACTGCAAATTAATTTCCTTATTCTGGCTATAATAATGATCCCATCGGATCCCAATTTGGTGATCTGATAGATATGGTTATTCCCTACGGAATGGCGTTTTTAGTTTTCTTTTATCTTCAAAATTAAAGGTTTGGGAGGTTTTCGCCCTTTTGCGGGGGCGCAAAACAGTGTGAGCATACAGAAGTCTGGATGCAAAATTTGGTGGCTCTAGCTCTTATAGTCTCTGAGTAATAGGCGCTCATCAGTACGGACAGACGGACATGGCTCAATTGACTCGGCTATTGATGCCGATCAAGAATATATATACTTTATGGGGTCGGAAACGTTTCCCTCTGTGCGTTACATACATACTTTGTGCACAAATACAATATACCCTATTTACTCTTCTAGTACCGGGGATAAAAACTATGCTAGTAAAAGACCAAGGACAAGGAGGGAGTGGGGCCCAGTGCTACCGATAGATGTATGAGAGGGCGACGTCATTAGTTAAATCTATAAATATCTTTTGCATTATACATTCAGTCATTACAATTGGAATATGCCAACACCAATCCATGTCCAGGGTCACTTATAATTTCAAGCACAGTCACATTCACATTTAGCATCGAAAAATAACCGTGCTCGTTCCTTTCCTGTTTCTGGCTCTGGGTGTGGCTCTGACAGGATGTCGGGTCTAGGCTAGAGCCCATAACTTAAACAGTGGCACCGTGTGCGCATACTGATGCTATGAGAATGATGCGAATGTGAATGATGATGATGATGGAAGTCAGTAATTGAAATGCAGAAAATGGAGAGCATCCCAAGCAGCCTCGACTTACTCGCCAACTAAGGTGAGTGCTAGAAAAGGGGCTGGGAATGAGACTGGTGTTGCTGCTGTGGGTGGGTTGCGCTTCTCCCTTAAAGATAAATAATGCAGCAGCCTGAAGCCCGGACGAGAAGGAAGTAGATGCTTTCTGCATCTGTCTCGGTCCTGAGCCGCTGTTGACACATAGTTTGTAGTTGGTAAACAGTCAACACACAACTGCTCAACGAGCACCTGAAGATGCTTTGTATAAATTTGAATATTTAACTGCATCTGCACTGGCACCGGCTCATGATCTGGCTTTGACAGTAGCAGTGGCAGTCCCAGACCCAGCTAAAGCTTCAGTTACACCAGAAGTAGTAACTTTTCACTAAAATCTAGTGCAGCTTCTCCATGAGTACACCGCTCCATGGCTGCCTGAGTGTGTGCCCCCTGTCCGTCTGACCTCCTGTCAGTTTTCCCTGCACTTGTTTTGGACCAAGAAAATCTTTGGAGCCGGACCCAACCTTGTACCCGAACCCGTGCACTGGCTCATTTGGCATGCGTGTTTGTCGCTTTGTCCAAGACATCAACCATTACCGTGATCTCTGCCCAGTGTCGACTGCTTTTTCAATATAAAATATCAATAATCGGATCTCTTACGATCTAACATCTCTAAGTATGGCTGAAAAAACTGAAGGAGAATAAGGAACAAAAGAGAGCGACATTCATGGGACACACCATAAACTTGCCAGCAACATATGTACTTACCGACCCGCACGTATGAGAGATCTCCTTTTAAAACTTAAATTGCGATTTGCTTTTTGCAAAATAACTCGATCCGTATAGCTCTCCTTCACTCTTTCCATAGTCGGACTCTCTCTGTCTTTTGTGATACTTTTAGAGTTCGGGGCGCTTGAGCTTGAGGTCTATGATACATGACACTATATTTCCCTAACGCAGCTACGCACCTGTTACTGCTAGCCTACAGCTTTTACGGTCATCACTAACTAAGAATTGCAACAGGTCCAATACATATTCAGTACAAGCAACACATGTGACAAGAAGCTCAACAAATTGTCACGTAGTCATCTGGTGTCGGGCCATGAGAGTATACATATACCGAAACCTAAAAAACGGTCAGATCGTGGCCAAACATCAAACGTCTTTCCTGTCGATCTCACCTCTATTCAAACACGGGATGGATCTCGAGGCTTGGAATGGACCAGATGTCGCCTGTTTAAGTATTTTGTTTAGAAAGTTTTCGGGACACAGTTTTCTCATCAAAAATATAAAATTTTGCGCAGCAGGCATTTCCAAATTGAATTAAACACTCGGAGATTGGTTCACATTTGGTTTTCAAATTTATTTATTTATTTTTAATTAATTTATTAGTTTTTATTTATTCTTAGACCCTTGATATCCTCAGAAGTTGTATGTTGTATAGGTTTTGGTTTACTTAAAATGCTTGTCGCATTTGCATTTTCTCTTTTGACCATATATATGTACATATACATATTTATGTATATATACATATATATGTACATATGCATACATACATATATAAGTATATGTGTTTAATACGCTTAAAATATTATCGTGTTGCGTTGAAATCATTACATATACATATGTTATATCATTATCATTATTGCAATAATTATCGTAATTATTATTTTACTGCTGTGGTACTATAATGCCATATATAATTGTTCATTTATCGTTAGATAAATGCATACGCCTAGGGGATTTGGGTGGATTTTCGGGTGTGGACTCTATCATACTCGTTTTCGGCTCATCCTCTTCTTCTTCCTTCACTAAGCAGCTTACATAGACAAAAAAAAACCTTACGGGAAGTGTTTGGTATCGTACTTTTAAGCGGAATTCTCCCTACAATACGAGTACGTGTACGTGTACGGGTTTGAGTATACCCTAGGCTTGCCTCGGTTTATTAGCTATTTGTGAATTATATAGTTCGATATACTACAGATTCTTAAGTTTCGTCTCCAGCTCCTTTGCTATTTTGTCTAATAAATATAATTTGTTCATCTTTTGCTTTTTGCATTCGCAAAGCTTTCCATTTTTTTACTCTTTATCATGTAGCTTCCTCCTGCCTTTTTCGTTAATAATAGCTATATATTTTTACTGTCGCTGCCTTCGGGTTGGGTTTATTTAATTATTATATCTCATAAATTCTTGTTGTTGCTAAATTTTGTTGTTTGCTTTGCTGTCGAGTACTGTCTACCTCTGTATCTGAGTTTCCATGTTTTTTATCTGTCTGTCTTCTTGTGTGGGTGTGTATCTGTAAGTTTTTTGCGTTCATGTGAGGTGTGCAAAACGTTTAAATGTTAATTTATCTCAATTGTTTCCCTGTTTCTTTATTTTCTAAGTATTCCTCTTCTGGCCATCGCTCTCCATTTGCTCGTTTACTCATCTTCCAGTTATCCAGTACTTATACAGTTGACTCTGTCTGACCCTCGAATTAGTTTAAGTTTAGGTTTATTTCCTCTGTTTAAGTTTAGTTTTCTTGTAGCTCTAACATATATACTCGTACACTAAAATACTTTGTTTTCTCCAGTTATTTACACTTACATATTCTGCATTTTATTTTTGGGGTATTTTATTCTTTTCTTCCCATTCCTCATTCGCTTCTCCCATCTCTCAAGCCATTTTATCCTTAGTTTTTGGTAATCCATAATAATTATTTTACTGTGCCATTGGGTTTTCTTGTTTTGTTTGCTTTTGAAGCAATTTAAGTTTTATTTTTTTCCTTTTATATGCTTGCCAAATTCTAATAGGAAACTGACTCCTGCTCTTTTTTGTAATGGTTTTGCTTTGCCAATGAAACGGAAACGAAACACAAATTAGAAACGAGAGGAGTACTCGCACGGAGTGCTACCTCCATATATGGCACCCACACCTGTACACACACGCGCATACATATCTAAAACAAATAAGTATACATTGGTACATGTACGTCGACATTAACATACATACATATGTAGGTATTTATACATATGTATTACATATACATATATCCATTTTCTCTGTGTTGTAAAGTTAATATTTAGTTGGGCGTAACAACGATGGAGAAAAAGCAACAAAAAAAATGCGTACAGATATTTCTGTATGTTTGTAGGTAGATAAATTATATGTATCATATGCTTTATACTTTATATTTCTATGTATTTAGATTATTTATTTTATGTATTTGTATATTGGTGCTATATACGATATAACACTAGTTTACCTTGATTAGTCTTCATTTATATACACAGAGACTCCAGCTACTATAATTCGCTTCTCTTCTGGTATATTCTTTTTTTTATTTAATATTCCACACTAGCGGACTCTCTCACGCGAGCTCTTTCTGCGCACTCTCCCTTAAAGTGATGGATCATTTTGGCCTAATTTTCAGTGTGTTTTTTTGGGTTGGAGTTCGTAATTTATATTAACGATTTAATTTCTTTGCAAATACTTTATTCAGCAATTCTTTCATTCTGTTTGGTTCCTCCATTGGGGACTTTTTAAAATGTTCATAGGTGACCTTCTAGTGTCTAGTAGGGAAGGATCGACCAACTTATTCCAAGTACAAGCACTTGAATAGCTATATATATATATATATATATATATATATATATGTAGTATATGCAATAAATTCGATAAGCACCAATCCATGGAAAGAAATAAACAATGGATTTATTATTTAATATCTGAAAATGATAGAAAATCGAGCAAATATGTATTTCGGTTTGGATTGGGGGCTAACTTGAGTCTCGTTCTTATCGATAAAAATCCGAATCTTTATCTTAATTTGGACGTAAACTGATCTTTTCAAGTGATCTTTCTGATTTTCGCTGTCCATCCTTAGTTTATTTATGAGTTTGCCCATTGCCGCTTCTAAAATTCTGCATAATTTCGGATTGTTATGGTGTTTTTTTTTGTTAATACTGTTTCAAGCTTTATTTAGATCGATTCTTTTTCATGTGTGGGTTTTATTTTGGGCCGCATTCAGCTGGGTTTGAAAAGCAAAACTTATAAATAATAACAAAACATTCACATTTCATACGGTAATAGCAGCATATATATGAATATACATATGTACATACATATGTATGTAAACATATGTACATATATATCTTTAGACTTACTTCGATCTTTTTGTTAAGGCTTCGTTAGAGCAGAAATAGAGAATAAATTAGTTGGGACAAAAACTTAAACTTATCTATCAGGAATAATAGAGAATATAATATATACATACATATTTATATATATCTTCTATATGTTTATTTTAGTGTTTTAAATCTATCTTTAGGTCTAATTAAAAAAAATGTTTTCCTTTGCTTATAAGCTAAACTTGTTCCTTTTTTAATAATTAATTTACTTTTTGTTTTGAAGCTGACACACCGTGCAAAAGCAAACGAGATGAAGCTTTCGCTAAGCAAAACTCTTCCCCAACAGGCTCTCAATTGGTTTGCCAAATGTAATCTTTAAAGTGTACTGTGGTCTAGACGGCGAGCCTGTGTGAATCATTCTATTCTAATTCGCATATGTCATTTCCATTCCTATTTCCATATATATTTCCTATTTACATTTGCTATGGCGGATGGTACAGTCTGCTGTGCTGGCTATCTCTTGTCTGTTCGAGTGTGTGTGTCCGTTCACGTCCGATCGCTTTGTGATTTGTTTAAAACTATGCCAGTCTCAAAAAGCTCGAGTACCACGAAAAAAAAAACAGTTCCTCCTTGCATACTGCATTCCCCTGTATCCCATCTACTTTTCTAAAATTTCCATTTACTTTTTCACTCTCTTACTCTTTTACTATTACCCAATTATCATACCTTATGGTTTGTGGGTATGCATTTACATATGTATGTATGTATATGGCTATGTTTTAGTGTTTAGGTTGTTGTTGCTGTTCTGGCTTTATATGACTACTGCACTATGCTAAATAAATGTATAGGATATATGTATATCGGTGTATCGGTATCATTTTTTGAATCTGTTTAGCTATATCCGATGACACACACATAGACGAGTAAGCGAATACCTCTACTTCGGATTATGTATCCATCTGAATTAAGCAGATGTTTTTATGGGATCAGAGTCCCTTAATTACATATATATATGCATTTTCTGTCGCACTTTTCTAGTTCCTAACAATACAAAAAAAAAGGTACATATACTATGTATGTACATATGTATGTAAATGTGCCTTGACATAAAAAATCTGTTCGATAACATACATTTAGTCCTATATATATCTATATATATGTATAAATAATTATGCTTCTTGCGCCAGTTGACGCCACTCTTTCTCCGTAGAAGAGCTGCTGCGTGGATCTCATTTCTGAGATCGGGCATCGTCCAAGAGCTAACAGGCAACGGCCTCTTCGGCCGTCGCATCCTCGTCGATATCGATTTCCCCGCCGCGGTCCGCGGAGCGCCGACGTCTGCGCCGGACATTGGGCACTCCGGCGGCGCCACCGGTGGCGCCCTTTTTCTTCACAAATTTGATGTTGTATGGATCCTCGGCAAGCTCAGGGTAGAGGGCCACGTCGTGGATGTACTCACCCTCGTAGTTATTGGCATAGCTCTGCTTGATGATCTCATCGCTCTCCTGCTGTGTCCACTCTACGGCGGTGGTCAGACCGCTGCGCAGGGCTTCCTTCTCGCGGTGCCAGGCCTTTCGGACAGCAGTTAGTTTGGCGTGGTGCATCAGGCGTTGCTGCTCCTTGGCAACGGTTGTGCCGTAACGCAAGTTTATGATTGCGTGCGATCCATGGATCTTTACGTCAAGATAGTTACCGCCCGAGGAGCCGGCAGCGGATACCACCGACGTTGAGGAGCCACCGGAGCCAGCGGACAAAGCCATCCCGGCCGGTACAGCCTCGCGCGTTATCTCATGGAAGGTTGTGTTCACCTGCCCCTGCAGTCGCTTGAGTTGTTGCCGGTCCTCGCTGGCCCGCCACGCATCCTCTTTGACAAAGAAGAATGAGTCCTGCTGAGCGTTGTGCACCACGAAGGTGAAGGGCAGAAGCTTCGAGCGGTTGAATACGCTCGTGTACACATCTCGATAGATCGCATTGGCCGCCGGAACGCTGGACACGATAGCCTGTCCGTCCGCCGTGCGGGAGACTACGATGCCCTTGCCGAAAGGTGGTTCCGTGTCAGAGCCGATGATGCGCGGCGAAGGGTCCATTACGTCACATTTGAGGGCTGATCGCGGTGGTGCCGATAGATGCTCGAAGTCGGACATCCGGCGCACATTGAGGTGGGCAAGGAAGCCACTTTCGACGGCCATGGTTGGGATATTGTCGAAGGGGCGGCGCATGTTCAGGGCAATGGGGTTTGCAGGCGGCCGTCCCCAGAGAGCCGGCGGCTGCCAGAGGGCGCGAGCCAGCTGCGGCACCAGGTTAACCACATTGTAGCCGAGTGTTCGCATCCAGCTGGCAAAGTCCTGCGGGTAGTGGCGCTCATGGCCCACATTGATAGGATCGTTGCCGTTGAATCGGTACAAATGGAGCCGCGTGGGCGTAATGATGCGCTCGGCCACGCGCTGCCAGTCCGGCGACATCCACTGGCCAATCAGCGGATCGTAGACCCTACCATCGCCCATATGCACCAGGGTGGTCACCTGGTCTAGGATGCCGCCACAGAAGTCGATCGGGAGATACAGATACGGGTTCGAATCGTAAACGATGTGACCGAAGGGCGAGCGCATGATCTCGCGGATACCCTCTCCGTACTGGTTGAAGAGCATCAGGGGCGTGCCGCTCTGGTCCGTGGCCACGTAGTACTTGTGGCGATACACCTGCGCGTATATCAGGTGGCCCACGTCGTCGTAGGTGAGCGACATCAGCTTGCCGTCGCGGGGCGAATAGATCTGGGAGACCTCGTAAGGCCGCTGTTGGTTCGTGTAAAAGAACTGGGTCACGTTCCCAAAGTTGTCCTTGCGCGTGGTCAGCCGCTTCAGGTGGTCGTAGTAATAACGGACGTCGAAGCGGCCCCGCTTTGATGCGCGCACCAGCAGTCCCTGCGTGTTGTAGTGAAAGCGCTCTTCGCGAGCGTTCTGTGCGACCAGACCGCGGGCGTCGTACTTATACTGGCCCTCTCCAAACTTAACGATGCGATCCTGGGCGTTGTACTCCATCGGAATGGTGTTGCCGCGGTAGGTTAGCGAGAGCAAATTTCCGTTGTCGTCATATCGGAAGCCCCACGGCTCCTGCGCTTCCACACCTACCAGCTGACCGTCACAATCCCATGTGTAGTTCTTCACATTTGTGTAGCTGTTCACGGCCATGTTCCGGGTGTAGGTGCGTGTCTGCGAGATGCGTCCGTGCACACCATACGAGAACTCCATGCGAAAAACCTCCAGCCGATGTATGGCCAGGGCCATGCGCTGTGTATGGAAGCGTCCGTCTACGGTCCGCGTGAAGCTGGCCGTGCCATCGTGTAGCTGCGTCTGGTTTAGGGCGGGTCGCGTGAACTTGAACTGCCCGATGACGCTGGGCTGTCCTGTGCGCGGATCGTAGGAAAAGGCCTGAGTCGGCAGGCTCTGGCCCCCGATGCGTCCCTGAAGGGCCACCACCCGCAGCTGGCTGTCGTACTCATAGCTGAACTTGGCGTTGCTTAACCCCGTCTTGGCCACGTAGTCGATGCGCTCCTCGGTGAGAAGACCAGCAGCATACTCGAAGTCCCAGCGATACTCCAGTTCCCGTTCCTCGTGCGAAACCGTGCTTGGCATGCCGCTGGCCTCATTGTACTGAAACTCGCTACGTCCATCCCCGTGGACTACCTCTGTGAGCTGGCCGGATCCATTATAGCGATAGACGATGCGGGCACCGTCCCCGGGAAGGATGGTCTGAAGCAGAGCCCCAGCGTGGCTGTAGTGCTGGAGGTAGGCGCGAGTGCTTCCCGGCGGCGTGTACGTGCAGCGGATGAACCCAATCGAGGTCTGCATGCTGAAGCTGTGGCGGGTGCCTGAGGGCAGGACCACGTGTCGGAGGCCGCCCGCGTCGTCGTACTGCAGCACGAACTTACGCTGGCTAGCCAGTCCTATCTCGGAGACGAGGTTCCAGTCGTTGTACACGAACGAAATAATACCGTCCTGCTGCGAGGTGATCTCTGAGAGTAGGCCATGCCGATCATAGCTGTACTTGAGCTCCGCAGGGCCCCATGCCCAGCCCTCTACGCGGTTGAAGCGGTCGTAGGTGATGTTAACCGGATAGCCGTTTGTGGGGTAGTAGGACTTGGGCAGTCCAGACTGGTCGTAGGCCACAATTAGGATGGGGGTGCGTCGGCCATCGTAGAAGGTTTCGCGGTTGGTGAACTGGTCGAACTCCACTCCGATCACACGGGACTGGTTCACCCATATCTCGCGGTTGAGTGTCTGCTGGGGATTGCGCACATCACCGACCAGGTTGTAGACCGAATACATCGAGTTGGTGAGGCCGTCGCCCATGGTAACGCTCTGGTGCGACCACATGGCCAGCATCTCTGCCTCCACGGGAAGGGCGGCCTCAAGTAGTGGGTGACGGGCCACTGCAGAGGCCTCGACCACCACTCCGTTTGCTCCGCGGATGACTAGAGTGTTGTTGGCCTTCAGTTCTGCGTCGGCATGGGCCAGACCACGCTTTAGGAAGGTAGATCGGACGCCGCCGAGGACGAGCAGCTCGTTAGCATCCACACCAGCGATGCGTTCGCGGGAGAAGAGCGACTCCACAGAGGCGTGCACGTAGATAGTTAGTCCTTTGTTGTCCGCCAGCTGGGAGGTGATGCGCACAATCTCGCCGCTGGGCAGGATCATACCCGTGACGCGCCCGAACTCGTCGTATTGGTAGATATACGTCTCGCCGCCAGATGATCGCGAGTTGAGCAGACCTGTGTTGCTGTCGTAGTCCAGCTCGATCTCCTGACGCCCCTTCTCGCTCAGCTTGGTCATGATGCCGATGCCATTGATCTGTATCTCTGACTTGTGGTCCTGCGTGTTCTCAATGGAGCTCACGACATTACTGTAGTCGCGCAGGAACTGTATTTTATTGCCTGACGCATCCGTGACCGTGGACAGCCGTCCAAAGCTCGTGTTTTTTGAGTACAGAAAGCTGTAGCGTGTCTTGCCCGAAGTCAGGTCCTTAGTGGCCACATGCTGGCCGTACCTATTAAATACATAAATCTCGCTCGATGGCGGAAAGGGAATGTGAAACTCTCCGTTCTCGTCGTGCGATGGCAGATAGTGCTCCAAGGCCAAAACGTGCAACGATCCTGAAATAGTAAAGGTATACACGAATGTCAAACATGGAATTTATATTGCCTGTGTAACTACTAAAACTGTTATTATTGCATTTGTACATTTGTATCAGGGTTCAGGACTTCGTTTCTCTCTATGTTCGAGGTCGTACTTTTAGCGGAATTCGCCCGCGAGCAACTGCTTTTGCAAGCTTCCATTACACAACTACTCTGAGAACATCGAGAGACATACCTTTCAGACTCTCATTGTCTGCAATTTTTATACCCGGTACTCGAAGAGTAAATAGGGTATATTGTATTTGTAGGGAATTACGGTTGTATGTAACGCACAGAAGGAAGCGTTTCCGACCCCATAAAGTATATATATTCTTGATCAGCATCAATAGCCGAGTCGATAGAGCCATGTCTGTCTGTCCGTCTGTCCGTCTTGTTTGTCGGCTAGTTCTCAGAGACTATAAGAGCTAGACCCATCAAATTTTGGCTCCGGACTGCTGTATGCTCACACTGAAACCAGTGTATTTCATGCCCCCGCAAAAGGGCGAAAACCTCCCAAATATACAATTTTGAAGATAAAAGAAAACTAAAAAAGCCATTCCGTAGGGAATGGCCATATCTATCAGATCACCAAATTGGGATCCGATCGGATCATTATTATAGCCAGAATGAAGTAATTAATTTGCAGTGGCTAAACCCACCCTGTCCCGCAGCTTTTGTTGTTCTTTTTACATTCTCTCATTCACACTCTGCTTCTGCCTCTGCTCTCCCCCTGCCTATTCCTCTTCCGACTTTTAACCCACCCCGTCCCGCAGCTTATATTTGTTTTTTTTTTGTGTGCGATCGCTGCCTCTGCCTCTGCCGCGAGTCTGCAGTATGTGGGTCTAAGGAAGGGCGGCGAGCGTGTTGGTGTGAGAAGTGATGTAGATGTAGATGACAGATGAAGAAAAAATTTAAAATTTTACAAGACACCGCTGAGGTGCAGATGCACTATTGTCCCAATGACCAGTTTTGGTGGCTGTTTACGCCAAATTAGCGCAAAGGGCTTATGGCCGGGAGCAATTAGTATTTTGTATAACTAAAATGAATTTGTAGCATTAAGATATTGAATTGTTGCATTTACGACATACTCACAGAAGTTTTTTGCTACAGAACATACATGTAATATGTGAATACGATAGCGAAAGAGGAAGAGCATGCATTTAATAGGTGAATATCGAAATTGAAAAGAAGAAGAGAATTAAATTGATTTGAATTCCGACTCGGTCGAACCAGCAGCACTTGGCTTTTTATTTCGAGATTTTGATTCCAAACTGGTTGCGAGGAGTTGCGGAAACAGTGGCCAAACGCTAATTTTTAAAAGTTAAAACCAAGACTTGGTTTTTAACGCTCTGTATTAGAAAAAGAGTGACCATCAAAGTTGCGTACCAGAAATTTTCATAGATGGCGCCACTTTTGAAAAATCTGCTGTGAACCCTAGCGGTCATTATTTCACGGAATTTGCAGGAAAAAAGTACCAATTTTATTTCTGTTTTAAATATCTTATAAATTGGAAAATACGATTAACTGATCCAATATTTTTGATGCATTTTATTTAGTAGGCTTTTTACTTTGTGTTCTGTAATGTGAACGATATCTAATGGTTGGCGATGTCTTCTACATCTAAATGTAGTCCTGAGTGCCGGGTATAAAAGTTGTGACGCGTAAGAAGCGTCTCACACGTCCCTTCTCGTTTAATATAAATTTGTTAGGTAAGGCTTTTTCTTCTAAAATAAATTATAAGTTTCTTGCTGCAAAAACAAAAATTGTTTTGTGCGCAGGCAAAGGTTAATATTTGTGAACAAATTCGCACACAACCTTTCACGCCAACATGCACGGGTGCGAAAACGATACGATCAAAATGGCGTTTTCTTTTATCTTCAAAATTGTAGATTTGGGAGGTTTTCGCCCTTTTGCGGGGGCGGAAGGATTCGTGGCTCATTTTTGAAATACACAAAATTTGGTGGCTCTAGCTCTTATAGTCTCTGAGAACGATCCGACAAACAAGACGGACAGACGGACAGACAGACATGGCTCTATCGACTCGGCTATTGATGCTGATCAAGAATATATATACTTTATGGGGTCGGAAACGCTTCCTTCTGTGCGTTACATACAACCGTTATTCGCACAAATACAATATACCCTATTTACTCTTTGAGTACCGGGTATAAAAAGGAAATAGGATATAATTTTTATCGACTCTTCCTGAGTTTTCAAAATCAAAATTTTGCGGTTTGCAATTTTGCATTTTTACATATGCATTTTGTAGAATGACAATGATAATTTTAACCAGATGTAAAATACTTAAGTTATGTGAAATAAAGAAGAGCAACCTAAAAAAAGCGTTAAAAAAACCAAGAGAAAGTGCAAAAACTATAAAAAGCTGCTTTACGGGTTTGGGGTAGCACCTACAAAGTAAATTCCTTCTGGCTATAATAATAATCCAATCTGATCCCAATTAGGTTATCTGAAAGATAAGGACCATATCCCTACGAAATGGCATTTTTAATTTTCTTTAATCTCAAATATTGTGGATGCAGTAGATTTTCGCTCATTTCTAAGCCCCATATCTTTCAGGAAAAGTTGGTTTGGTTCCATGAGGAAAAATCGTGTCAAGTAGTGTTATCGGACAGCGGCGTCTTTTTCCCCAAATATTATCCCTCTTTTGCTTTTGACAATTCCCTTGAACTGGCCATCAATTGTATTCATTTGTATCACTTCCCTTTCGCCTGTTTCTGTCTTTCTCTTTCGTATTGTTGATAATTTGCTTAAGATAAACGCCAGATTCTCGCAGATGTTTGATTTTACATACACAGCTTTGTCCCTCTCTCTCTCTCTGCCAACACCACACATTTTCCAGAAATCCCCTGTGCTCATGGAACGCTTGAAATTTTAATGAACTGCAAATACACAAATAAATAAAGAAAATTGCGTAGGTACATATGTGAGGACACTGCTAGAGGACATTAACATAACATCATCACTGCTCTGACAATAACTGACAATGTACATTCATACATACATATGTACATGTTTTACTATAATTTTCCGCATCTGGCGATCTTAAGGCAACATGGAATTAAGCGGTTTTTACTATTAACAATTATAGTCTTCCTATCTAATATATGGAATTTAAAGATGTACATATGTATGTATGTACTGCATACATGTATCGGATGGTTAAAATATCTTGGAAAACTCTAAAACTTCTGATCTTAAAAATGCATACCCTCATTAAATCAATCAAAAATGTAACCAGAAAAAGATTTCAGAGATTTCAAGATTTCAAAAGATTTTCCACTGATTAAACAATTTTTTCCTTCAGCAGTTATGATGAAGCTTTTGCTCTTTTGAACAAAATTGCATCACAATATAATATATTAAATACATTGTGGGCAACATTTTTTTCTTACATACATAGCTTTTTGGAATGGGGATGGGACTGGGACAGGGACCGCGGTCTAAAAGAGTTAACGCAGCGATCACGAAATTCCACCACCCATTGGAGACACATTCCTGACATCCTCCTGCTCCAGGCGCAGTTGGAGCGTTAGCCACTATTGTCTCAGTTTAGAGGAGCGTTTAGGCTTCGGGTATTCGTGGGAGGTGTCAACCGGACTGTAATGGGTACTGTTGTTGGATGTGGTCTGGTTTAGTCGGTTGGGTGACGACTGGGATGTTACTTTCTGGCAGGGCGCCAGGCCAACGATTGAGCGAATTTCAATGCAATAAATGTGAGCCACTCCTCTGGTAGTTATACCACCAGAGCCACTTGTCAAGCCCCAACTCCCTGAGTGGGTGTGCTAGTAGGGTTTGTGAGTTCAATTAATGTAATGGTCCCATAAACTGAACAACTTTTTTGTGCCCAGCACAAAGGGTTAATGACATTGTTTCTCCGAGTGCGTGTTTCTCTGGCTGTGGCCCCTCGATTTCAGGGGGTTTGGTTTACTGTTACGATGTGCATCGGAGACACTACCAATACCCACTACAAAAACCCACTATCTCTATCCTCTTTCTTAACTTTGAAGAGTCATGGTTGACGTGATATCTTACATGTGTACATATTTAAATATTTCCATATCGTGGGAAAAATAAATATGAATGGAAGGTCAACCCGTTTGCGGATTGAAGTGAACGTAAGAAAAAGACACATAGATAAGCCTTTGGGAGCCTTGTAGCCCATAAGGTTAAACATTAACGAAGGTAACTCCATGTTAATCAAATTGCAATTCAATTGTGATTCCAGATTGATTACACAGATATTTATTGAATTAATGATTTTCATATTTTAATGGGTTTGTTTTCTGTATTACTGAAGCCATTTGTTTAAGTAGTAAACATATTGCATATATCACTGTCGTCGTGCCCTCTTTCTTAATTATTTTTGTTGCGCAATTATTAAAACTAATGCACCGGAACTGTCACACACATACTCTCAGGAGGGAGGAAGAGAACTGAACTTAAGCTGTGAGCTTTTAATGAAGCTTACTTGAGTGGGGCTACCTCCAACTGCAAAGCGGCAATAAACCTCCTTCACAGGAAATACTTTACATACGTATGTATGTATGAATTTATATATTCTTGTCTGACAAAAAGGCACACACACACATATGAATATGTACACACCCACCCACACTTGTTGAGATAATGTTTCTTAGACCCTAATACAAGTGAACGTCAGCAGACTGGTGATTAATGTATTGCAGGGGAGTGGGTTACGGTTTGGGTCAGAGCTTTAGTCTGAACATTGATGTGAAAGGCAAGTTGGCCAATTCGTAGGTAATAAGATTGATTTTCAATTTTTCGCTCTTCCCACTTTAGCAGAAAGAGAGAAATGGAACGAGTGGTAGACACACTGGAAAGCAATCACTCACACATGTTCCGAAATTCCCCACTCCCGCACAGTAATGTCGATGACTAAAACTTGATTAATTATGGCCATTGATTTGCTTTCCACGGCTTCATCTCCTTTCACAGCCATGGACACGGTTACGGCCACGGCCACTGAGAGCGGAAGCCCCCATGTCTGGCTCGTCATTAATTTGCGTTGATTGGCATCCGCCTCCACTGAATTGCCGGACCACCCTTTGTCCATCCCGTCTGGACGACCCATGGTTAGCGCTGGAGTGCTGGAGAACTGGTCTCTAGTCCATCCCTCCATATCCATCCACCCTCTTCCACTAAGGAAATTTATTAATTACGTTTTTGGTCTTATCAAATTACGCTTTGCTAATGCACTCAAATTTATACCTTCGATGTTTTTTGAGCTTTTGCTTGCGCTTTCACATTTGGCTTTTTCGCTCTCTCTCTCCCTTTTTCTTTCACTTATTTATTGGCAGCCATTTTGTTTTGTGTTTTTCTTTTCTCCTTCTTCCGCTGAAGAGCAGGTGCTACCTCGGTGTGTGTGGTCCCTAATTTGTCCTCGTTCGAATTGTAACGGAAATTGGAATCGTTTTTTCCTTTATAGGGCTCTTCCAAACCTCCACTGCCTCCGATTACACTCCCATCACATTCCCGCCCCATTCCGGCCCTCAATGGACCCCTTGATTCAGGGTGTGCTTTTCTTCCTTTCTATCCATTCTTGGATATTCGAGCGACACAATGGCCAATTACAACAGCAATTGCTTGTTCTTTCGATGCTTTTCCATTGTTCAGCAATGTTACTGCAAGCTCCTGTTCCCTTTTTATACCCGGTACTCGAAGAGTAAATAGGGGTAAATATTTGAAGGGAATAACGGTTGTATGTAACGCACAGAAGGACACGTTTCCGACCCCATAAATAATATATATTCTTGATCAGCATCAATAACCGAGTCGATCGTCTGTCCTTCCGACCTTATGAGAGCTTGCATCTAAGAGACTATAACAGTTAGACCCACAAACTTTTGCATCCCGACTGCTGTATGCTCACACTGTTACAAGTGTATTTAAAAAATAAGCCTTTTTTCAAAGGTTGTTATTGAGCTTTATATTTGTGACGAATGTGTTGCTCCAGTTGTTGAGTGTATTTTTGAGCCTGTTGTAGGTTATGTTGATCCTGAGCTCCCGGTTGACGTTTTTGGTACGGTTTTTAATAGGTCGGTGTACAATTCATTTTGTTGTAGTGGCTGATGGGACTGCTATTAATTTATTTGGAAAACTGGCAATATTTTATTTGAGCGTTTTATATGGAATACCCGGTACTCGAAGATTAAACAGGGTATATTGTATTTGTGGTCGGAGCAATGTGCGTAACGCACAGAAGGAAATGTTTCCAGAAAAGTATATATGTACATATATTCTTGATCAGCATCAATAGCCGAGTCGATATAGCAATGTCTGTCTGTCCGTCCGTCTTGATGAACGCCAGAATATCAGAGACTACAAAAGCTACTGCAACCAAATTAGGCAGCAAGAAAGTGACTTTTCGAAAGTCTCCTACAGCCACAATTTTGAAGATAACAAAAAAAGCCTAATTCTGTAGGAAATTACCATATCTAAGTATTAGATCAAACAAATTTAAAGTGTAAAATTCGAAATAAAACATAAGGTTACACAAAAGTGTGTGATTACTCAGTGATAATCAGCATAAATGTACATAATTTATAAATTGTTTAAATATTATTCTAAATCAACTTACCTTGATCTGCTACATTAATGACGCCATCCTGGGCCACGGCAATGGCCGAGATAGCTTGGAAACGTGCGTTCGAGGAGAGCAGGGTCTCCGCGTTGCTCAGGGTTCCATCGTCGTTGAGGGTCGCACCGCTGCCGATGCCCGAAGCCGTGGTCTTCGCGCCCAGGAGCACGGTGGTGGTGGTGGTGGGGCCGGTGGACATGAGGCTACCACCGCCGACTATGCTGGCCAGCGTACCGCCACCGTTGCCGGTGCCAGAGCCGGAGCCGTAACCTGAGCCAGAGAGCGTGCCGATGCCAAGTCCACCGGGACAGACACAGGCAACGGAGCTGCCATTGCCCGTGGCGACCGTTGCGGAGGCAGAGGCGCTGCCATTGTTTCCGTTTCCGCCCGCTGGGGTCGTCGGGGTAGTTCCACCGTTATTGCGTGTCGGGTTAACGGTCGTCGAATAGGCGCCACCAGTGGTCCCGCCTAGTCCAACCGTGACCGAACTGCCGTTGCTGCCCGTTCCAATGGCGCATTCGCAGGTCTGTGAGCTGCTCAAATTACGGGTAACGCGATTGAGATAGATGAATGGATAGATTGAGAGTTAGCGGTGCAACAGGAAATTATATTTGCTAGACCTAGCCTCAACTCCTTGCTATCCCCGAACGCACCCCTATCAGTCACTGCTGTTGCTGGTGCTACTCTAAACGCGTATTTATGATGACATTGTTTGTTCGATAAAAATTCCAAAGTATGGGGGAACTACGTGCTTCGCTTATCGCTAGCCACGCCCACACAGCAGACAACGACAAAGATACGGAAACGGATACGGGCAAACGGACACACACACACACACACACACACAAAAACCGGAGGCGCAGAAAAACTACCCAAGACAACAATAAAACCAAGAATGGGGTAAAAAAAGGTGATTTATAGTTTCTGTCTGTAGCGCAGCGGCCGCTAATTACTTTGCCACGTCTGGCGCCCACGCCCTTGTACTGTCCCCCACCCCAGTGCCCCACCATAATTCTCCACCTTCTGCTCGACCCCTCCGGCACCTGATGCCATTCCCATGACCCCTGGTTTGGGGCCCATATTCCTGCTCCCTGCAATTCTATTTGTTTAAATAAAGTGAGACCCTCGTCCGAAATTGAATAAAGTTGCACAAATTGTTGGCTCAGTCGTTTACTAGTCTTACCCGCTCATGGGCTCCTCTTCCTTATTAAATCCCCTCTTGGGAAGTTTTGAGGTGATCTTAATTTTCTTATTCGATTAATGTTTGCAGTGCATCAATTAAGAGTAAGAAACCCAAGTGAAACGGTGAAAATAATCATAACAAGCAATAGGGACTAAGCAAAATAAATTATATCGTAAAGCTTGGGTGCTTTTAAGAGTTGTTTGATTTTAAACTATGTATAGTATTAGGTTTAGGTAGTTTGAGCTATGGAACCATCCAAAAACTTAAGTTCAGACGTTAGGGATAGGAAGAACGTGCCTGGCACTCAGTACTGCATCTGTACCTTAGCGGTTTTTGTCAAGTTTTAAATTTGGTCTTCATCTGTCATATTCATCTACAACACTTCTCACGCCAACACGCTACTTTAGCTCGCCCCCCTTCCTTAGAGCCACACACTGCAGTCATGGCAGAGACGCGGCAGAGGCAGAGGCCGCACACTGCAGAAGCAGAGTGTGAATGAGAGAATGTGAAAAAAACAACAAAAGCTGCGGGACACATTCTGGCTTTAATAATGGTCCCTACGGAATGGCGTTTTTAGTTTTCTTTTATCTTCAAAATTGTAGTTTTGGGAGGTTTTCGCCCTTTTGCGGGGCGAAAGGGGGCGGGGCTCATTTTTGAAATACAGTGTAAGCATACAGAAGTCTGGATGCCTAGTGGTGGCTCTAGCTTTTATAGTCTTAGAGACAGACGGACAAACGGACAGACACACAGGCAGACTTAGACTCGGCTATTAATGCTGATCAAGAATATATATATATTTTATGGGGTCGGAAGCGTTTCCTTCTGTGCGTTACATAGAACCGTTATAACGGTTAGTCGCACAAATACAATATACCCTATTTACTCTTTGAGTATACCGGGTATTTAAATATAAAACATTTTTGAAATGCGCCGAGATTGGTGAAGTGAGTTCGTCAGTTTTCCGGTGCGAGACTCCATTATGGTGAACGTTTTAAGGTCCACGGGAAGATGAGCACTTCCAAGCACGTCCTTCCTATCCCTAATGTTTGAATTTAAGTTTTTTGAATGGTTTTATGGCTCAATCTACTATAACATAATACTATCAATAGTTTAAAACTTTTACTTTTAATTTATTGAGCGCTAACATTTTAAAGATCATTTTCTGAAATAAGGCCAACAGTCCTTGTTATTTTTCACACGACTGCACGACTGCACTGTACATAAATATTTAAATACATATGTGCATATGTATAGGATTTTGTATAGAATGATCAAAGGAAAAATCAGACAATGAATTTCCCCAATGTGAGAATTCCAATTAATTTATGGTCACGGTTTCGGATGCCTTCAAAATGGGTTAATAAAGTCAAATAAAGTTAACAGATGTTCACATCGAAACAGGTCCATAGCAACAGCAGGAGAGACAGAAACATAGATATGGTTATAGTTGGCATCGGAAATATTGCGCTGCTCTTGGTGAATTTTTTCCTTTTTATCTCTGTCGCGTGTCTCTGTATATACGTTGCTAACCATCCACCACTGTGTTTGTATTATTCCCGTTGGTCATTGGTGGTAGACATTTTAAAAAATTTGATAAAATCTTTCGACAATATGCAAATAGAGTGGAGCTCACTTAATTGGGTCAAGTACGCACATAAACAAGTCCGAGTGGAGTCAACCCCAGCCCCGCTTCAGTTTTCTATTCCTTTATGTTCTGGTCTATTTAGAAGCGTACCGCGTGCCCCATGCCGCATGCAGCAAAAACTCGAATTGATTCGGAATTGGTCCAGCGGCGGAACTTCGACCACTTTAGCAGTCATATTGACCCACCCAGGACCAATCAATTTTGGATTATTGTTTCAAAACAAACATAAATGTGATAGTCGAGTGCTCCGAGTTTATACGACATCCGTCACTCAGGTTTATGCACTCTACACATTTTTTGTTTGAAATTTAATATTTAGGGATGCATAATCTAAGTCGTGGGTCTCTCTATCCCTACAGATCTTCGTGACTGAGGTGTTTACTTACCCAGTGCCTTCCTGCTTGCCGGCAAAGTATCTCATGTTGCCAGCTGTATCTACAACGCGAATGGAGTTGATGCGACGCGAGTCACTGTCCGCTATGTAGAGATCGCCGAAAGGCGAGAAAGCCATTGCCAGCACGGTGCCTAGGACGTTGTCGATGGCCGTTTTGTTCAAGCGGCTGTCCTGTCCATTGTTATTGCAGTGCAGTGGAGTGCCAGCCACCACGCGTATCTTCATGTCCGAAGTGAGGCGCAGAACGAGGCGGTCGTCGATAAAGTGCAGCGAGCCATCTAAGGGGCTAAGGGCCAGGCCGGTGGGCCACTGCAGCTGCGCTTGGTTGGCAATCAGGGTTCCGGTGCATGGCGCGGGGCTCCAGTGGTTGTGATGTCCATGGTGGCCGATAAGGGTGTGAATGATGCCTTTGGAGTCGACGGCCCGGATGTTAGTGCCATCAGCGATGTACATCGTGCGATCCGCAGCGATGGCCAGTCCCTTAGGGTGTGAGAGTCGCGCCAGTAAGGCTGGCCCGCTGTCGCCGCAGTTGCCTTCGTCGCCGGGGATGCACCGCTGACCGCTGCCTACCACCGGGTCGCTGTTGATGCTCGGGTCTTTAACTTTCTCTAGACGCAAAAGGCGAAGGATTTGGTGGCGCTCTGGGTCGGATATATACAGGTGACCGTCGGCTGGCGATACGGCCAGGTAGTACTGGTACGAGACCTGGGTGGCGCTCAGCTGAAGGATGGTGAATACCTTTCCGTCGGGCGTGATGCGGCGAACCAGGTTGAAGTCACCCACGTAGAGACTGCCGTCGGGGCCAGTGGCCAGAGCGATTGGAGTCAGCAACTTGGCGTCCTTAGCCACCCCGTTGCAGTAGTCTGGACAGTTGAGTGGTCGCTGCAGGCCGGTGCCCATCACCACCTTGACTGTACGCGGGTACTCCTTCATGTGCAACGTGCTGCCGTCGCCTTTCTGCAGGATCCCCTCGTGGAAGTTGTAATGATGATGGATATCCAGCCCCCAGCCGCCAATGTCCGAGATGTCCACGTCGTAGCCCTGTAGCTTAGCCGTCTGAGCTATCCAGACGGGCGTCTGGCAGGTGGTGTGCTGGTAGCCCACCGATATCCGGGCGATCGTCACGCCGTACACCTTTTGGCGGTAAACGTTGCGCTTATTCCAGGCGAATGTGTGGATCAGATTTGGATCTGCCTCGTACGTCTTCACGTGCAGCGCCCCCTCGATCTCCACTCCCACGTGTACATGGGTCAGGGTCTTAGGTATCGTCTCCGAGGTTAGCCGCATGCGGACGATGCTCAGGTACCCTGACGCTTGAGACGACTGGTAGGTGAGGTGCAGGTCCGAGCCGGGTATCTGTATTGACTCCTGAACAATCTGTGGGGCAAACAAAGAGAGCGAGAGAAGGTCATCAATGGACCGCAGTTGGACAGCTGTGAGGGCTGCAATTAAACGTGCCCGAACTTCGTCACAAGCTTAATTAATGTCCTGCAAGGGCTGCCCCTGCTCAGACTGCCAGATGGAAATTTACAATGTCATTAAGGCAAACTTTAAATTAATTAAAACTGCGCGCTGCACCGGGCCAGATGCTGCCATGTCGCTAATTAGAAATGGCATTAGGACAGGAGTCCATAACTCCTAAATAGAGAGACATCCGGCCAGCCGAATGGAGGAGGTGTCCCATCTTTTGAAAGAGGGGAGGGACGCTAGGACACTCACCTGAGTCTCGGCAAAGATAACCCGTTTGCCGGGCATGGCGCCCACGCCATTGGGCATCCAGGTGCTGATCAGCTGGGGTCGTAGCTTCTCGTGGTCGTGGTCCATGCACACCTTGCTGGCATCATTGGCTTCATCCGCCGTGTGGTAGTGGATGGAATTGAGGAAAGTCAAGGCCGGATTTAGGGGTGCCACCCTGGAAACACAAGCACAAAACCAAAACATCGATTAGATTAATTCTCCTGCAGATTCCTTTCTGCGACTTACTTTATGTTTCGACTGGTGGTCTCGTCGTCATCGCTCAATTGCATCTGGACGGGAGGCAAAACGACTATGCGGTTCCAGGGCACAAACACGGTGCGCGTCAAAGGGCGGAATGGCGATCGCTGGAACTGTAGGGTGACCGCTCCCCCGCCATTAACGAGAACATCAAACCTGAGAAATTTTCGGATACATTAAGATTGGCTTTGGAATTAAAAGGAGTACGCAATTAGTAATAAAATTGGAGGCAAGCATGCCATTTATAAATTTAATCAAGTTCACTCAAACCCATTAAATGACATCCAGACTTGGTGGTGGAGTTTGGATGGAATTCTGGCCGGATACTCGTAATACCTCAAGTGTTTGTTGGAAATTGTTGTCACGTGTTAGCCGCTTTAAATATAATGATGGCGATTCCCAGGCCGCCGCCATTGTTGCTGAAGCAATTTAAAATTCCAGCAGCGGGGCAAAGGAGACGTTAAACAGCACCAACTTGCACAGAAAAAAAACAAGAACAAGAGTAGATCTCGACAGGAGAAGACGCGACAGGAGAAGACGAGACAGAAAACAGAGGCCAGACAAAAAACAAGGTGGAAGAGGAGATAATTTTGGGAGAAACTTCCAGGCAATACTTTTTTAATATGTATTTAAGTATTGCGATTGTAAACTATGCTTGTAGCGTGAGATAGTCGTATAAAAGACATACCACGGAAACAAATACAGACAGCGGAGTTAAAGTTTGCTTTAAGTTTTCCTGCACTGGTGTTGCCTCAGGGTTGTAATTAACGACATAGCTTAAAACAGTAAATCTCCACCATTTAAGGGGTGACCAATGCGGGTCATAAACGAAGCCATAAACCTGGACAGCGTTAACACAGAGTGGCAGAAAAAAATAAGGGAAAAAAGAAACAGAGGATATTCTGTAATATTTGTTACAATTTTTGCTAATTTAATTTTAGTGTTTTCCTCGTTTTCCAGCACAACTGCTGTTGTGGCTGCCATAATGGCAGACGGGCATATGTGTATGTACATATGTACATTTGTAGATATGTATGCTATCACACACAACCATACACACAAAGACACACGCTGATACACAGTTCGCTGTGGCTGGGTATTGCATACATTCAGGCGCGCATTCATTCATTTGTAATTGAATTGGATTTTATGAGCCTGACCAGAATATTGGGGTGTGTGGCGGTGCACCGCGGTGGTGGGGAAACCATTTAGCGGAGGCAACAACCAAAAAACATATAACACTCACACACACGCATGGACGGGAGTATTATGAAGTGAATGAGAGAGACACAGAACAAGATTCTAATGACAAAACGTATGCAACAAAAAAATGCCAACCACAATCCCCTTCAGCACAATATAATGACTTTAATTACCGTTGTTACTATGAATCAGCAACAATCTACAATGCATGTCAGACAACAACATGAAAACCTATGAAAAATCATAGAAAAAACTAAAAGAGAGCAATGGAAAATCCGACAAAGCAATGAGAACGTCAACACATAAGGGGAAGAATAATGGCAATTTGGAACAGGGGCAATGAGAACAATAAAAAGTTATCGGAAAACTGATTTTTTTTAATTTTGTTACAATATTCTCGATTAAGACAGGTATTAAAAAGGTGTTTGTGAGTTTGAAATTAAAAAATTGACCTCATAAAATGTTTAATGGCTAGTTTTTTAACAAGTCCAATGTAGTAACAACGTAATTTCAGCCGACAACAGGAGTAGCAAAGCCAAAAGACAGAGACAAGAAAGCAGACAGGAATTAAATAACAACAAAGTTGTCATAATAAATAGAAGATGAATAATATATGTACGCCACAATTACAAATGGAAGCAGCGGCACCACCTGTAGAAACCAAGTTGAAAATCTGCAGTTTTTAGTTTCGTACTGATTTCGAAAGCTGTCGCCGAGACACGATCGGTTTTAAGCAACGAATTTTCATATATTGGTTCATATATGTATGTATGTGTCTATGTACATATGTACATACACTGTATGTATGTAATATGAAATTCGAATGGGGAAAACCAAACGCATTTTATTTCCTGAAAATGATCATATTTTACTTAATAACGAGAAGGGACGTGAGAGAAGCTTCTTACGAGTTACAACTTTTATACCCGGTACTCAGTACTACATCTGTACCTTAGCGGTTTTTGTCAAATTTTAAATTTTTTCTTCATCTGTCATCTACATCTAAAACACTTCTCACGCCAACACGCTGCTTTAGCTCGCCCCCCTTCCCTTGACCCACACACTGTAGACTCACGGCAGTGGCAGAGACGCGGCAGAGGCAGCGGCTCTAGTAAGACAAGAGCTGCTGGGTTTAGCCACTGCAAATTAGCTTATTCATTATGGCTATAAAAATAATCCAAGGGGATCCCAATTCGGTTATTTGATAGATATGGTCCTTCCCTACGGAATGGCGTTTTTAGTTTTCTTTTATCTTAAAAATTTTAGTTTTGGGAGGTTTTAGTTCTTTTGCGGGGGCGAAAGGGCGGGGCTCATTTTTAAAATACACTTGTAATAGTGTGAGCATACAGAAGTTTGGACGCAAAAATTTGTTGGCTCTTGCTTTTATGGTCTCTGAGATCCAGACGAACAGACGTACAGACGGACAGACATGGCGCAATCGACTCGGCAATTGATGCTGATCAAGAATATATATACTTTATGGGGTCGGAAACGTTTCCTTCTGTGCGTAATATACATTCACTTTGTGCACAAATACAATATACCCTATTTACTCTTTAAGTCCCGGGTATAAAAATGGGTAGATGTTAGGTTAAGGCAGCTACCGTTGCACTATGGTCCCAATGACCACTTTTCTTGGCCAAAAGGTAATTTTTAAAAGTTAAAACCAAGACGTGGGTTTTGGAGCTCTGTATTAGAAAAAGAATGACCATTAAAGTTGCGTACCAGAAATTTGCATATATGGCGCCATTATTAAAAAGCACGTGCAGTGAAAATGTGCCAGTTTTATTACTGTTTTAAATGTCTCATAAATTAAAAAATATTAACTGATCCAATTTTTTTGATGCATTTTATTCAGTTTTTTTTCTACGTGCTTTCTAATGTGAGTGGTATCTAGTAGTTGGCGATGTCTTCGTAATTGTATGCTAAAGTGAGGCCTTCAAAATGTATCAGTTCGTAGTACAAAGTAATTTTTGAAAAAGGTTTTTTTAATAGAGTCCCACCTAGTCCCACCTTAAAACCTATTGTGTGTCGTAGAGCAATAAATGATTGTTAAAATGTATATAGTCAGAAATGCCACATTTGACCACAACTCTTACAATTTGCATTTATAGATCATAACCTCAAATGAGAAATGTCAATGTTTTTTTGCCGTTTGGAACACAATGTAGAAGAAAATTGTGAAGTAGGGTGCCATTTTGCATTGCATTTAAGCCACAGTATTATCACTAGCTATTTTGGAGGGCTAGAGTTTGAAATCCAGTGCTATATTGGTTTATAATGGAAACTCCCATAGAGAATGCTTTGTGGGAGAAAACATTCGATTATCTTGGATTTTTAAGCTGTTTTAATTGGTGCTATGACTTTTTTATAGAATCTTGCATATCTAAATATATTCCGATCCTTATTTTGCTTTGCATTTTGAGAAAAAAAATAAAAATTTATTTTTTCTTAAAAAAAGGCGATGCCACGCCAATTTTCTCAAAAAACATGCCCCTTGCCATTCTTAACTAATAGCAAAAAACATCAAAATATCTTATTTCGTTCGCGAGTTATTAATTTAGGAAAACAAAAGTGGTCATTGGGACCATAGTGCGTTGTGGTAAAAACTGAGAAAAATATTTTACGGAATGGGGTTGAAGGTATGACCAGGAACACAGGCGACATACACATGTACATATGTATCTATTTTACAGCCAGGCAAGGCATCGCTTATTTGGCCATTGGGCTAATGAGAAATTACGGTCGCATTTACTCGTTTGTTAAAAATAATCTCCGAGAATATGTGTTGTGTACGGAGTCTGTGACTGGTCCATATACATACATAGATATGGTTGTCTACTGGTGTATGTGTATATGCACATATGTATGTATGTATATATGCACATATGTATGTATGTGTATACTTGACTGTTTGCACAGACTAATGCGAGTGTGTGAGAGATTGAAATAAACAAAGTCCGTCCCTGGGAGTAAACACAAATAATCATCAGACAGTTGGAGCTCTGCGTCCGTCTGTCTGTTGCACAGATTTTGTTCGTGAGGCATGCTTCTGCTCCTTCTGCTTGGTCTTTATAAAATAAGGGAAGAACGGGTGCGAAATGTTTATTTAAATTGGCCAACACACACATGGAAGAAACGCTTACACAAAAAGGAAAAGAAAATGCCATAACAGCAGGTGAGAGCAAACAATGATGCTGATGGCAGCAAAAGGAAATCCTTTTCCACCCCACACCCCCAATACCCCACAAAAGAATGGAGAAAAGTAACTGCAACAATATTTATATTAGATATATTGGATTGCCCACTGGCTGCCACTGCATTTCCATCCAAATGGGAAAATACCCATACTCGTGCTCCTTCTCTCATCTTTTGTGTGTTTTTGATGGGTTCAATTAGAGAACTATACATAACTAATTTTAGTTCCTGTTTCTTTGGCTGGAAAGCAATTCATCCAAAATGTCACATGATTGAAACTAATGTGTTTCCAGCTAGGGCAGTCCGGACGTTTGGCCCGGCCTATACTTTGCGACTGGCGGCCAATCTGTCACTTATTATGGCTTTAAATATCCTAACAACTTGTGCAAGATTGGTAACAGCAGCAGCCTGAAGAAGTTTCCGAGTTCTGACGCAAGGCGAGATCAAAGAAAAATAATTATTTAAAAATTTGATGGTGCGCCGTTGCCTGGTAGCTTTATAATTGTTGTTTCTTGTTTGTTTGGTTTTGGTGTATCAGCTGCTTACTAACGTCATGTGCAAATTCCATCATCAGAAATGTAATCAAGACTAAAAACTCGACCAGCCAAAAACCAGGTCGGATAATGGGATCTATTCATCCATAAGTAATTTGAATATATCAAAAACGAACGAGAAGGGACGTGTGAGACTTTTCTCACTCCAACATGCTCTTTTAGCTCGCCCTCATCCCCTGGAGCCACACACCACACGAAGCAGAGTGTGGAATGAGAGAATGTGCAACAAATATAAACAGCTGCAGGACGGGGTGGGTTTAGCCACTGCAAATTAATTTCTTCATTCTGGCTATAATAATGATCCAATCAGATCCCAATTCGGTGATCTGATAGATATCGTCATTCCCTATGGAATGTTTTCTATTATCTTCAAAATTGTAGACACAGCAGATTTTCGCTCTTTGCGAGAGCATACGGCCATCTGGATGCCAAATTTGGTGGGTCCAGCTTTTATAGTCTCTGAGATCGAGGCGCTCAACAAGACAGGCGGACACACAGACATGGCTAAATCGACTCGGCTAATGATGCTGATCAAGAATATATATACTTTGTGGGGTCGGAGTAAATGTATGTATTGTTGTAAATGAACCGCTCCCTTCTTTGTGTTAAATTTGTTCCGCAAAAACACAACATTTACAACAATACATACATTTACTCTTTGAGTACCGAGTATAAAAATCGCCGGTTTTCGTGAAGCTTCCATCTTGTCAGAGACAAGCCCAAAACAATTTGTGTAGCTTTACGGAAATTTGGAGGATGATCTTCAGTATATATGTACATTATATTTTATATTTATAAAAATAGTTTTATATATGTATGTACTTCATACGTATGTACTTCCCGGGTAATAGTACCCTTGTTTAATTATTTATTTAATTTAAAGAACGGATATATTAATAGATTGTACTTACCAACCTCCTTGGCGGGTTAGGGTGAACCCGAAGCGTGAGTCTCTATCTACAGAGACACGAATGCCGACAATGCCAAGTCCCTGAGGAGTGATCACCTGTCCACGCATCACAGACACACGACTGTAAGGATGTGTCAAAAGTCCATGGCGAAGATTTTTTGGATAGGAGAGTTTCGGTATTATTTGGATGTGGAAAGATAGAAATTTATCTTTTAGAATCATTTAAATTTATGTATTTCCATTGGATTTATTTTGTTTTTATTTTATATATACTTTTTTCTTTTATTTCAAATTTGAGGTTTGTGAATGATGAAATCATAGAATTTAAAAGTGAAAAAACATCGAATTATTATGGTATGTAGTTTTGGTAGCTATGTATTATCGGATTAACGGATTAACTTGGGGATACAAATAAACGATTTGATTGATTTTCTTTGCCTCTAAGACAAACCGAAGAAACTCAAGGTATGGTATGCAATAATATGAATAAATATTTATATAAAGATATTTAAATTATTGTATCTGTTTTCTTGGTACGAGAATGCATATGTATAGGTCTAGATATATATAGTATACGAGTATATGTATGTATAGATAGAGAGAAAGAGAAATATTGTGTCAGGCAGGGTGGGTGGGGGTTTTAATGGAAATGAGTGAACCTTGTCACATGAGCAAGTAGTAGAAGTGCGTTCTGTACATTGTATCTGTGTCTGCATATATATCTTTGTCTACGTGTTTGCGGAGTTTTTTATAGGACAATCTCAAAGCGTTTTTCTGGCGGGCGATAACTCAGATAATGAAAGTTGGATGTGTACGTGAATGTGAATGTATTGTGGAACTACATGAATGACCAACAATCGACTGCCGAAAGAATAAATGGATGCCAAAGGAGGGGAGAATAAGTACCAGCATGGTGCCCGTACTTCCCCTGCATCATCTGGTTTTTATAGGAATGGAAATAGGAATGGGAGTGAAAGTCCAAATGATAGATTTGATAAGTTTGCCTGTATTCTGAGACGATCTTAAGATATTCAAGGAGCTGTGCGATTAAAGGAGGACTGTTTTCGGTTTGAGAACTTATATTCGTTGGTGATCTGAAGAAAAATGGGCAGCAAACAAAACAGCAGCAAAACCATTTCATTGGAAAGCAACAGGGAATATTTCTTATCGTTTCATATCAGAAAAGAATGTCATTGCTGTTTTCTACAGCTGCAAGATCTTTTTGATCTAATTATTAAGCTTTGAGATCGACAAAAATTTGCTGCATCTTTAGCGATATAATTTGTGTGTGATATTTTATCTTTATGGCTTAATATGTTAAAGGTTATCGTATAAATGTAAGCTAATTCTATCTATGAATATATCGGTAATTCGATAAGAAGGTTTGTTATGGACAGCCCGATTAATAACCATCAATGGCTCACCGCAGTCAGCTAAGAAGTCAATTTTTTCCATCAGAGAATTTAAATTGACATGCACTTGATTATAATCAATTATAATATTCAATAAAAAGAATTTATTATTTTATTTGTGAAATTTCTTTCAAATGTTTGATAGTTGCGGCTAGTGATAACTGTACCAAAGATAATTGAGAGAATAAAATTAAAACGCTGAATCTATAAGATAAAAGTTACAATTGTAAATAAAAACAGGAGGGACGTGTGAGACGCTTCGTATGCGTCACAGCTTTTATACCCGTTACTCCGTCAGTATATCTGTACTTTATTGTTTTTATTTTTGAATTTTACATTTAAAATTTTTTCTGCATGTACATCTACATTACTTCTCACGCCAACACGCTCTTTTAGCTCGCTCCCAGAAAACTGCACGAAGCAGAGTATGGAATGAGATAATATACAAAAAATAAAAAAGCTGCTGGACGGAGCCTCTGCTATGATAATGGCTATGATAATGATATAATCTAGTCTCAATTCGGTGACCTGATAGATATGGTCATTCCCTACGGAATTTTTAGATTTCTCTTATCTTCAAAATTGTGGATACAGCAGATTTTTTCCCTCTGTGGGGGCGGAAATACACTGGTATCAGTGTGAGCATAGAGCAGTCTGAAGAACAAGTTTTGTGGCTCTAGCTTTTACAGTCTCTTAGAACTAGCCGACAAACAAGACGGACGGACGGACGGATAGACAGACAGATATAGACTTGGCTATTGATGCTGATCAAGAATACACATACTTTATGGGGCCGGAAACGTTTCCTTCTGTGCGTTACATACAACCGTTAGTCGCACAAACACAATATACCCTATTTACTCTTCGAGTACCGGGTATAAAAAGCATGTGGCGGGTCACACTTTGGCCTTAACTCTTAACTGTTAATGTACAATATCATTGAATTGTCAATCGGCTGTAATGCGATACTCTTCACGGAGTGAATAGGTGGGGTAAGTACCCTTGGAAGATGTCTGTGGTAGTCTCACAGTATAATTTACATTTGCATTTCCATTTAATGAGCACTCCTCCCAAAGCAAACCATAATAACCCTAGCGGAGCTGGTTTCGGCAGATGGCGTCCTTTCTCCTTTCTCACAAAAGTCGAAGGGCTGCATGTCGCAGAAAGAGACAACAATGAATTGCTATCCGATTTCAAGTTTGCCAATTTATTATGAGTAAAGTCAAGAGAAGGGAGCACATGAAATGTGCTTTATATTTTCAATGGATGCTAGGGGTGCTACAAATATACTTATAGAAAACTAAAATGGTTCTTGAGTCGACACTGGAGCTGAATGGCAAACCTTGAAAGAAAATGCCGCAGTGAGTCATGGACAGGATACGACAGTATGGGACAGGGTAGGGCCAGCAAAAATGGCCAAGGATATCGGAAACTGGCGCAATTGTTTACACTATTTACTGTAGAGTTTAGGAGAATTTAGGAGAAAACCTTCTCCAATTAGAAAGAGTTCCAACGACGACATCATGTAAATAGTGTTGGGTCCGAGACAGGACTGCAGTTGGCCCCTTATAATTAATTTCACTTTCTTGCTCACTCTTTCCCTCAGGCTTCGTTCCGTTCATCTCTATGGATGCTTGCTGTTGCTGATGACCTCCCATATCCAAGAGACCCAAGACACATTTTCTGGCAACCCCCATATCTTTCCCGCCCATCCTCCTTACTTTTGTGTGTGCGAGCATGGGTGTACATAAACACATAATGTACAGTACATGGGTCAGAATTTTATGTGCACTGTTGCAATTTTATTAGGGAAGGTCTGGGGAACGGTTAATCCGCTTGCAATTCCTGAACAGTGGCCAACTTCTTCACATACTTTTAATTGCAATTGACCAAGTGGAGGCCAAAAGACGAATCCAGCTCAACTTTTTCTCTCTCTTTTTCTCACTGTGAAACGTCTACATCCACAGCCCATCTCTTTCAATATAGCGTCTCCATTGTCGTTCAATTTCTGTTCACTTTCCACCACTTTCGTTCACTTTTGCTGCTTCAATTCGATTCAATAAAGCAACATTTTATTTGAAATCAAACCGAGAAGCAAATTACACGTGTGTAAGTATCCCTATGTCAGAGTGTGTGCGTTTTTGCGACTATAAGTGCATGTGTATTCCAATTCATTGAAGTGGTGAGTGCCATTGATTTTTATTTCGCATTTTATTCGTTTCGTTTCACTTCTTATTTATTTGATTTATTTGAACTGGTTGGCTTCGCTTCGCCCTTTCGACTCGTCTCGTTTCGGATTGAATTGGTTTCATTTCGTTATGAGAGGCGTTTTTCTTTGATTTTTTGACTATCGAAATGTGCATCACAACAACCTGCCACAATATTACGTGCTGCAACTGGTCCTCAGAGCGGTGGGGTTAGAAAAACTAATTGAAAGTATTAAACAAAAAATATGAGTGTAAGTGGCAGTGTTTCCCCGAAAAATAGTTTGAAAATCGGTCCGCTTGGGTTCGAGTGTGTGAATCCAAACGAGTTCACTAACACACAAATAACATAGAGGAATCGGTTCTTGAATCCGGCTTCGAGCTTATGGAATTCGTTCGGCTTATAATTTTACTTTTGCATGTTATTAACTTGCCCAACACACACACTTTTATTTAATCTAAACGAAATTAAAATTCTGGATACCAGCGAAAGATATCAAAGACTTGAAGAAAACGAGGCCAATATAATCTCCTTCGTTTATTGTACGACTACTTGTTTCTTTTCGCATAGTCAAACATGTGAGAGTTCGATGATCTTCTTTTATTTAACTTTATTCTATTTCTTTCCACGATTTGTCTCTTTCGATGCTCCTTTTAGAATCGAGCGTCGATCTACAAAATTTTTATGTAGCCGTCCAATTAGGAATTATACTCATCTACTTGGGTTGTCAAATTGACAGATATGGGTCAGATATGGTTATCCTACCACAAACACACAATACGACCACCCCTCCCCACGGCCTCTTTCAATCAGCCCACCATCATCAGCGATGGCCACTCAAAATGATGTTGCAATAAAGTCATTTAGCAAAGGAATAAAAGGAGATTGAGGTTTCAGGAAAAGCAATCGGGGGACTACCGCTACGCTGAGAGAGACCCCAATGAAGTTAAAACAATTCCACAATAAATGTCCACCTTCCGCCTAATCGTCAATGCCATGAATGAGCAATAAACGCGACGACAAAGGAGGCCAGGGCCGAGATTAGGATCCGAGGCAGGAATGAAAGAAGGATGAGAGCGAAGATGCGAAGTAGGACTGGGACTAGGAGACTCTGTACCAGGACGAGACATTGTCACCTCTGCACCTTTTTTGTCAAAAGTGCACTTCCATTATTAGCGGGGAGCGGAGGTGGCCGTGAGGGCTGAAAAATATGAGAATATCGCGCATAAGGGAAGTGCATTTAATTTCTTGCTTTTTTGAGCTCTGGCAGACCCGTCAGAAGGAGGCATGGAATGGGTGGATTTGTGCTCATTCATGAAGCAGCTGCCTTTCATTAATTTTCACCCCGAGCCAAACACAGAAAGTGGGGGCGTCTCCGTCTCCATCGTCATCGTGGTCGTCTTCCCCTCATAAAAACTGAGCACGACTTAGCATGACTTTTGTGCATACAAAACCGTCAGCGTCAGCGCCAGTGCCAAGCCAAAAGCAGCAGCAGTACAAAAAA